GTGTGTGTGTGTGTGTGTATTTTTTTCTCGATTAACTCTTTATGTTTTGTTTGTAAAAAAAGTTACATAGTTATTTTTTTAATAAAATTATCAAAATTGTTGAGTCAAAACAACAAATTATCTTTTAAATTGTAGATATTTTAATAATTTTATTAGATGGAATTAACGATATAATCATTTTTTGAGTTATTTTGTCAATATTATAATAGTAATTTTGCTTTTATTCACAAATGAATTTTCAATTAATGTTTAAAAATTAACCAAATTTTTTTCAAGTTTGATAAATTAACCAAATTTATAAAATTTTAAAAAATTTATCAAAGATGAAAAATGTAATAAGGTGTAGGGGATGTAATAAATAGTTGCTGGAAAAAAAAAAAGAGGAGATCTTTACCTATCACAACTTAATTCATTTTCTTTAAATAGTCATAGAATAAATTATCTTCTTCTCTAAATCTTCAATTTTCCTACCAAACTATTGATTTAATAATGAAAAAAAAACTAAAATAACAATATTTAAAAATAAATATAATCATTTTAAGTATTAATGTAAGTTTAATTATTTAAATAAGCCAATGTTTATTAAATATGTAAAACAATTGTATAAATCCATATTCAGAAGCTCCAAATTTAAATTGGAGAGTATAGCATGATATCAGCTCCACGCCATACTACACTATTTACAATAATGAAAGTTGCTTTTAATTAAAAAATTGAATTATTTTTATTTTTTAAAAATAAAAAGAATTGAATTGCTTTTAGTTCAAGCATAAATAAATGCATTATTCATTGGGCAGCTTTTTCCCATGTGGAAAATTGATAGGTTCCAGCAGTGATTATAATTACTGATTAGAAATTCAAAAAAATATTTATTATCTTTATTTTTCGTAATATTTAAAATTATAATAACTATAGATAAACATTCAATTTATTCCATTTTAAAATTTAAAAAAATCAAATTAATCAATAAAATTATAATAAAAAGAATGTGTTTATTTCGGTCGATTCGTTTAATTTTTAATTTTATATTTTAAAACATTAATAATATTTTTTATATATAAAATGTTTATTGACTTGTGATATAAGAGAAATAGGAAGAACAAAGTGATGTGGGCTGGGCCATCATGATTTGACTGAGAAATGTAATCTGCAATGATTGCAAAACAAAAGACTATAATGATGAAGGATAACTGTTAACTTGTTTGATACAACTAATCTTGACCTGTTTTAGGGTTCTTTTTACCACATACTTTATTTGTTAATTTTGACCAAAACAATTTAATCTTGTCTTTACTCTTAGATAACAACATAACCAACTTCTAATTTCGAATTGCACTTTTGTTACTTTTTTTTTCTTCCAACATAATTGGGTAGGGATGAAAATACATAATTAAATTTTTGCCATAAATAATTTTAAATAAAATATTAATTAATATTTATTATTTGAATTTGATTATAAATAATAAATTTTTTAGTATTTATTTAATTTTTCATAAAAAAAGTAATACAAATATTATTTATAAATTTACTTATAATTGATAAACCATTTATTTTAATATATAATTTGTTTAAATATAAATTTATTAATTGAATTTTGACCAATAAAATAGAAAAATGATTAATTTTTTTTAGTTAATTTGAATAAAGTCGAGTTATATGGCGAGTGGCCACATTGTTTCTAACTAAATAAACAACATCAGATTTTAAAAAAATATATTATTAATCACCTTTGAATAGATATGAATATTAAATATTTTAATTGACTGCAAATATCTCAAAATTAACGCAGTGTTTTTCTCGGCACATTTTAGAGGAGTTGTAGGCCATTGTTTTCTAGCCCAATCCACTGGTTTAATTGGACTTTTCGAGTGTTTTTGGATGGCACAAAATTTAAGCTTAGTGGGCAAAGGCCCATAGATAAAATTGAAGAATTTAATTGTTTTTGTTATATACTTGCAATATTTTGTATTAATAAATAGCACAATAGAATTTTCTTTGATTTATGAAAAAAAAGGAAATCTTTAAAAAATAGAATAAATATATATTTTTTATAAAGCATTGCAATGATTCGAGTTGCAAAAGTGTCTCATTTTATTCTAAATGAATAATTTGTTTAAAATAAAATTGAACAGTAATATGAGTTTTTTGGTTATGATATCATTTGTATTTTTTGGTCATGGAAAGTATATGATTAAGTATGTTGTCTTTAAATCAATAATTAATGAATTCATTTTATTATAAAATAATTTTTACGATAACATACTATGATTTTGTATTATTTATATAATTACGTATATTAAAGTAATATTTCAAAAATGATAATTACATATCATATTTTTAACTGAAAATTATGTCATAATTAAATATGATATTATTATTAATTATATTTAATATAAAAATTAATTAATAAATTAATAAAAAAACATAAATTAGATAAAAGTTATACACATCATTGATCTTATAGTAATGATCTCTTCAACTTTGTTCACCCACCTATCATGGTTAAATTAATAAATAAAGATAAACATTTGGTTGATTCAATTTTAACATTTTAAAAAATTAATTAATTAATTAATTAATCAAAATCAATCAAATTATAATAAATATTGAAAGATAAACAAAATGTACTTATTTTGAACGGTTTTGAATTTTATATTTTAAAATATTAATCATATTTTTTATACATAACTTGTGATATAAGAAAAATAGCCATATTTGCTAGCCCTCATTATTCGACTCAGAAATGTAATATGCAATGATTGCAAAACAAAAGAGGAAGGATACTAACTTGTTTGATACAACTGATCTTGGCCTTGTTTAAGATATTTTTTACCACATTTTTTTTTAGTTTTGATTAAAAAATTTAATATTGTCTTTACTCTTAAACAAGAACTTAACCAACTTCTAATTTCTTAAAGTATTGCACTTTTGGATATGTAATAAGATTTTCGACATAATTCGGTTCGTTTAAATAGAATTATTGTATTTTATAAATAGTTTTGGATACATAATTAATCGATATTTGTTATTCGAATTCGATTATAGATAGTAAAATTTTTAATATTTATTTTAATTTAGTACATGTATTACTTATAAATTTACTTATAATTGATAAATTATTTATACTAATATATAATTTGTCTACGTATATATTTTCCTTTAAATTTATTAATATAAGTTTGACTAATAAAGTTGAAAAATGATTAATTTTTTTATTTAATTTAAATAGGGTCGAGTTATATAGCAAGTTACCAGATCATTTACAAATAAAAAAATAACTTTGAATTTTAATAAAATTTTTAAAAAATTATTATTAATCGGATTCCTGTAGATATGAATATTAAATATTTTATTTCGATTCAAGATATCGAGAAAGAATGATTCTCTACAATGATTTTGAAAAAAATGAAGTTGCCAAATTAGTTAATAGTTGATAAGGCGATCAACGATGATTACTCTGTCATTTGTATGCAACCCTCAACCGCAAAGAAATTGCAACTCTTCACTCCATTCTTATAAGGCATTTGCTTAAACTTTATAGCAATCTAAGGTTTCAGAGTTGAATTCGGGTTTTCAGAGATTGCTTTCTGACTTTTGCTGTTGAAGTTGAAGAAAATGATTTGTATAGATAAATTAATTTGCTCCAATACCTCGTGTTTGTAATTTTTAATTTATACATTAAAAAATAAAACAAAAAAAAATTGAATCAATAACCCTTTATCCCTTATTTCATAAGCTTACATTTTCAAAGTTCCAATCAATGCTTTATAAACAAAAATCATGTAAGAATTAAGTTTATGGTCATGAAAAGCTTATGGTTTGAATAACAGAAAAGTATGCTGTTTTTTTGCTCATAATAGATGTATGATTTTTTTTTTTACATTTCATTTCCAAATAGCTGCTTACTCAAAATTTATGTAAAATAATTGATTTTGTATTATTTATATAATCATATACATATTAACATGACACACCATTATAAAAGTTCATCACTAAATCAAACATACAAATTTGTGTATATAATTTAAGGGGAAAAAGAAAAAGATGAAGTAATATTTAAAAAATCATAATCTTTAATATTTCATTATTTCAATAGTTTGGTAAAGATTGGCTTAACCAATCCTAATAAAATATATATAATTTATATATTATATTCACAATTCAAAATTACATTACAATTAAATATGATACTATTATTAATTATTTTTAATATAAAAATTAATTAATAAATTAAATAAATTAGTAAACAAACCTAAATTAAATAAAAGTTATATATTGAGATATCATTGATCTCATTCGAAAGGTGTTTTCAATTATTCCTGGTTAATGATGTTTTCTAGCTTGTTTCACCAGTGACTTGTCACGTTTTAAGTGACTTGCTTGCTCGATAGAGTAAATATTGGTATTTGTCTTGAATTAATATTGGTTATTTGAACTTATTATAAGCAATGAGTTTTTTAATATTTATATAATTTAATGTATGTATCATCTATAATTAATAAATTGTTCATTCAAATATATAACTTCTCTAAACATAAGTTTTATTTTAAATTTATTAATTTATTTTTAACTAATAACACATAAAAAAGATGAAATTCTTTTTTTATTTATTTTAAATAAATATAAGCACGAATATTTCAAAATTAAGATTATTTTCAATGCCAATTTTAGAAGAGTTTTAGGCCATTGTGTCTTGAGCCCGAAAACATTGGTTTAAGTGGGTGGGCCTTTGCGTGTTTCTGGATGTTGCCAACGCCCAGAATTAAAATTGAAAGAATTTTTAATTATTTTTGTTATAAATCGAAATAATATTTTCGATGTTAAAATTTACCAAAAATATTTTAAAGTATTTAAAAATTACCTTACAAAATTTATTAAATAAAAAAAAGTTTATTTTGATTTTACTTCTATCATTGATAAAAATAAAATCCGATTAAAAAAAGAAAAGGGCCTTAACTTAAACTGAAAGTGGAAATCCCAAATTAAAAATGAAATACGTATTCTTGTCCAACAAGATAAATAAATAAAGAGATGAAAGACTATAAATATCAATTGAAGCCTTTTACCAATAATTTCTTTTGATTAATCCGTTTGAATTTTTTTCCCTTTCTGTTCTCTGGTTTCCTTCTCTCTATCTCGGTTTACCAATTATGAGTCACTCTGCTGGATCTTCCGACTCGTGAGTCACTCCTCTTCGGTTTTTGTTTACCTGTTTTGTTCTTTTTTGTTTTAACGATTTTTTAATCTTTCATTTTGGTCGGTTTAATTTTAAAAGGTTGCTCATTTTGATTCAGGAAATCGGGGAAAAAAGACTTTTCAACTGCGATCTTGGAAAGAAAAAAGTCGCCAAATCGATTGATCGTTGACGAAACGGTCAACGATGATAATTCCGTTGTTTCTATGCACCCAGACACAATGGAGAAGTTGCAGCTCTTTCGCGGTGATACTATTCTCATCAAGGTCAAAGGAAACCAATTTTGATTTGTTTTTAAATTATTTAGGTTAAATTTTGGATATTTATGCTAGGGTTTGGTTGTATTTCGTTTATTTTTTAATTTATTTTGGGGTTCGAGACTGTGTTTCGAAGCTTTAGAACTTCAATTCTGACGCGATAAGATTTAGATTCTATGATTACCGGATCCTTAATTTCAGGATTAGATGAAAATTGGTTGAAAAGGTAAATTTTGAAGTTTTAGGGTTCCCTCTGTTTAAGTTTTCAATGCTGCTGTTCTTATTTGAGGGTTTGGTTGGTGTAGGGAAAGAAGCGAAAGGATACAATCTGCATTGCTCTTGCTGATGAAACATGTGAGACGGCGAAGATTAGGATGAACAAAGTTGTTCGGTCAAATCTGAGGGTTCGACTTGGAGATGTTGTGTCTGTGCACCAGTGCCCTGATGTGAAGTATGGGAAGCGTGTTCACATTCTTCCCATTGATGATACCATCGAAGGTGTTACTGGGAATCTGTTTGATGCTTACTTGAAGCGTAAGTTTTTTTAACCTGTCTCCTCTAAATTGATTGTTAATAATTGTTTACTAGCTTTTTCTGAACATGTAGATAATATCTGTTTTTGTTGGTTTGACTTTCTTTTTTGTGTTATATAAATTTCGTTTTGGTATTGTTGGATTGTGTTTTTTTAATGTTTGTTTGTTGTCTGCAGCTTATTTCTTGGAGGCTTATCGTCCTGTGAGGAAAGGAGATTTATTCCTTGTTAGAGGAGGGATGAGGAGTGTTGAGTTCAAGGTCATTGAGACTGACCCAGCGGAGTATTGTGTAGTTGCCCCAGATACTGAGATTTTCTGTGAGGGGGAACCTGTGAGGAGGGAAGATGAGGATAGGTTGGATGAAGTTGGTTATGATGATGTAGGTGGTGTTAGGAAGCAGATGGCTCAAATTCGTGAGTTGGTGGAATTGCCACTAAGGCATCCTCAACTTTTCAAATCAATCGGTGTTAAACCACCCAAAGGAATTTTGCTTTACGGACCACCGGGTTCTGGTAAGACATTAATAGCCAGAGCTGTTGCTAATGAAACTGGTGCTTTCTTCTTCTGTATTAATGGACCAGAGATTATGTCTAAACTGGCTGGAGAGAGTGAAAGCAATCTTAGGAAGGCTTTTGAAGAAGCTGAGAAGAATGCTCCATCTATCATATTTATTGATGAGATTGATTCAATAGCTCCTAAGCGTGAGAAGACGCATGGTGAAGTTGAGAGAAGGATTGTTTCACAGCTTTTGACTCTCATGGATGGACTGAAATCAAGGGCTCATGTGATTGTTATTGGGGCTACTAATCGTCCAAATAGTATTGATCCAGCTTTGAGAAGGTTCGGGAGGTTCGATAGGGAGATAGACATTGGGGTGCCGGATGAAATTGGTCGCCTTGAAGTCCTTCGCATCCATACCAAGAACATGAAGCTTTCTGATGATGTGAGTTTGAAATCTGCATTATTTATTCTTCTGTTTGGTAGTTATAATATCTAGCTAATGACATTCATGGCCATGGATTTAACGACTTAAGCCACTAACTTTAATGATGGTTGTGAGTTTGGTTGGATGTGGGCCCTCAAATTAGCTTGTATTCCGTGTCTGAATTTCTCCATGTCTTGCTCTCTTTTATGCTCACTGTTGGTTAACTTTTCTCTTTCTTTTCAGGTTGATCTAGAAAGGATTTCAAAAGACACTCATGGTTATGTTGGTGCTGACCTTGCTGCTTTATGCACTGAAGCTGCACTGCAGTGCATCAGAGAGAAGATGGATGTCATTGACTTGGAGGATGAGTCTATTGATGCAGAGATACTTAATTCAATGGCAGTTACAAATGAGCACTTCCAAACTGCCCTTGGAACTAGCAATCCATCTGCTCTGCGTGAAACAGTAAGTGATTTACTTTCCTTTGAATGTTCATCATGATGTACATATATGACCAATTTCTATCTCAAGATCAATGAATATTTCTCAATTGTCTTAAATTGCTTGCTTTTTTCTTGGTCATCCAGGTGGTTGAAGTGCCTAATGTCAGCTGGGAGGATATTGGAGGCCTTGAGAATGTTAAGCGAGAACTTCAAGAGGTGATTGTCATTACTTGACCAGTTTATAGCCATAACACTTTTAATTTGTTTTAAGCTTGTTACTAAAACTTCTAGCTTTTTGTTTCTGTTTGGTTGTGCAGACTGTTCAATATCCTGTGGAGCACCCAGAGAAGTTCGAGAAATTTGGCATGTCACCTTCTAAGGGGGTCCTTTTCTATGGTCCTCCTGGATGTGGCAAAACTCTCCTTGCTAAGGCTATTGCAAATGAGTGCCAAGCAAACTTCATCAGCGTCAAAGGCCCTGAACTGCTCACCATGTGGTTTGGTGAGAGTGAAGCCAATGTTAGAGAAATATTTGACAAGGCCCGGCAGTCTGCACCTTGTGTCCTTTTCTTTGATGAGCTTGATTCCATTGCTACACAGGTTTTATATTTGCTCCAACAATGTTTTAAATTTCAATATATGCCTCCGTTTTGGTCTTATATTAAGATGTGAATACTGTGTAGTTATTTTTACTCATTTGATGGCATGTTGTGATTGTTGCAGAGAGGAAGCAGTGTTGGGGATGCGGGTGGAGCAGCTGATAGGGTTCTAAACCAACTTCTAACTGAAATGGATGGCATGTCAGCTAAAAAGACTGTTTTTATCATTGGGGCCACCAACAGACCTGACATTATTGACCCGGCACTTTTGAGGCCTGGCCGGCTTGATCAGTTAATTTATATTCCTCTACCGGATGAGGAATCCCGTCATCAGATCTTCAAGGCCTGTTTGAGAAAATCACCCATCTCTAAAGATGTTGATTTGAGGGCACTGGCTAGGTATACCCAAGGTTTTAGTGGTGCTGATATTACTGAGATTTGCCAGCGAGCATGCAAGTATGCCATCAGAGAGAACATTGAAAAGGTATGCTTCTGCTGCTTGTACTATCAACTACATTACTTAATGGTTTTAGAAAGTTAAACCTGTTTTATATGCATGTTTTAAAATGTATGATTGAGGTGCTCATAACTGGCTTGTTTCCCTGATATTCATCATCTCATCTACTCATCATCTCATCTACGATGTTATTGTTGGCTTATTTTTCACATGGTTACATGCTTTGTGGTTTTCCTGGTTGATTGCACTCCTGTTGTAGGTTTTAAAATCCAATTACTACTTGATGATATCTTCAATTCTTTAAAACAACTCCTTTACTTAACAGTAAACCTAAATTGGAATGATCTGCAGGACATAGAGAGGGAAAGGAGGAGGAGTGAGAATCCTGAAGCAATGGATGAGGACGTTGAAGAAGATGTTGCAGAGATTAAGGCTGCACACTTTGAAGAGTCCATGAAGTTTGCTCGTCGGAGCGTCAGCGATGCCGACATTCGCAAATATCAGGCATTCGCCCAGACTCTGCAGCAGTCTAGGGGTTTTGGATCTGAATTTAGATTTTCAGAGACCGGAACGGCAGCTGCACCATCTGACCCTTTTTCAACTTCTGCAGCTGGGGCAGACGAGGAAGATTTGTATAGCTAGGTTATGTAGGTTTAGCAACTGAATTTTCATATCTGGTTATTGCTTTTTTTATTTTGGATTTGGACACGTTAAGCCAGAATCTAGTCATACTTTTTAATGTTTTTCATGGATAATTACTTCAAACTTAAAAAGTCTTTTCTCTTTTAATCTCTTTGGTTACCACCAATATGTGATATGTATGTTGTCAGTTAGTCGGTAAAGCATTTATCGAGTTGCAAAATTGCTACCAAACTTGATTACTGTGGAAAAATTCTGGGTCAGGGTTGGCTCCCATCATCCAAGCCCATGTTTTCCCCATTAAATGGCTATGGGGTTGTAGGCCCTACTACATTGCTTAGTTTCACATGCTTTTTGAGAGTCCCTGGTGCCTGCTGCCTGGTGTGACGCGTGACCCCAAACCAGTGGGGTTCTTTCCGATTGGTCATCCACCCTGCCCCGCCCTCCCACCCTGCATCATACTAAAATTTGGCATACTCAAAAGTTCATCAATTCCTAATGAGCTGGCCAGGGTATTGTTAATAATAAGAGGAAAATTAACTCTTCATGAACAAAAATGTTTTGTCTCTATCAAGTTTTCTGTTTCATACTTTTCTCGTAATTTGATGTCACTTTTAATGAAATTTTCAAGTTTCGATTACTCTCATTTTAAAAATTATTTATTTTAATAAAATACATAACGTAAAATTATAAAAATAACAATAAATCAAATATTACAAACACATTCCTTTTGACCAAAACTTATAAGTTTCATTCATAAGTATACTACAATCCAAAACATGATGGTGAAACCATACATTGAAGGTCGAGGACATACAGCTTTATGCCCCCAAAAGAAAGAAAAAAAAATTAATGAAAAAAACAATTAAATAGTCGAAATTCTTATTATCATACATACATCATGCACCTCACATATTTCTGTCTAATCCCAACCAAAAAAAGAGCATGCATGCATATGCATCAAGGTTTTTGGTCGGGGTGCGTTTTAGACCCACAAAAAGAACCAAGAGTTTGATAGTTAACGTAGCGGCTTGGAGCTGATGAACGCGTAGACCCTTTGGGCATGCAACCCTTTGCTTCCTTCTCATTGAAAGCCTCGTGCTTATGGTTAATCACTAGCGGGTTCATCTTCACGTAATCCACGGACGCAGGCCTCATCGTGCTAGGAACACTGGATGGGATGTCCCGACCGGCCATGGCAACATGTGGAGAATATGAAAACATGAGGAGGAGATAGATGGAAATGATGCAATATACTGTGGCAGCCATAATTTTTAGAAGGAGGGTTTCCACCTGTTTCTTCTTCTTCTTTTTCTTCCTCTTCCTTTTGTAATGGTTGGTTTCCCTGTGAATGGATAGAGGTTTTTGAAAGGGAGGGGGAGAGGGCTTTAAAGAGGGTGGCGAAAGGAAAGTGCCACAGGGGGGTCTTAAATAGGCTCGTGAGTAGGCCGAAAATGCCATAGCATTAGTTTTTGAAGGGTGAGGTGGGTGCCCTTTCCTTTGTATTGTTCTTTTATTTTCTTTCTTTTTCCCACTGTGGAAGGTATTGAGATGCCGTGAGCTTCTTTTATTACAAACTCAACCAAAATCTCTTTGCTTCAAATGCAGCTCCACGTCCATGGCAGCTTCTTTACCTCAAAAGTTTTTGAATCTCCATAGCGACCGCTTTCTTGGAATAGTAAAATATTTGGGAAAAACTCCTTAAAATAATGTTTGCAGTAATAATCAACATTGTGTTGACAGATTATAAAAAAAAGCCAAGGATATTACTCATTGGATGTCTGTTCATTAAGAGTTTTATTTTGATTTGGGACTCCAATTAAGCTTTGATCAAAGTTGAGTTGATATGTTAATTGGACACAATTTCCGATAAACAATTATTAATAGACTAGACATTTTCTATTCCTTTGATACTTGCTCAGGTTTTTTTTTTTTTTTTATAATTTTACATCATGTTTAGTATCTTATGCTATCAATATTTCAGAAATAGGTCGATGGTTTAGACTTAAGCTAAAGCTTCTTACCAACTTCTGATATTGATAGTTGCACATTGATGTTGTTAAATGTCATTATTAAGTACCATTGGGATCCATTTATACTCACCAGTTGTTTAATATTTGTCAGGGCATTTATCAGTCATGCCCCTCCATACCTGGCTCGAATTTACAAGAAAAAGCAATTTGATCAATTTTGCTGTAGTATTGAAACATCAAATAAAGCCTCACCCATGCGTGTGATGGTAATGTTCAAGTACGTACTATGACAAGCATTGAATCTCTAAGGGCTGCAAAGCTGAGGGAGGAGATGTAGACGTAAAGCTTGACTGTGTTACTTTCTCAAGTCATCTAAACAAACCTTTTAGGAAAAGCTGAAAATCTCCAAAGCAAGAACTTTCTGAAGTCAACTTCAAATGTCTTTCTTGCTCTACCATATGTAGGCAACTTGTCAAATGTAATTGATAGGTGAATCCAAGCTGACCTATCGAAAAGGGTTGTTCTCCTAAAGTTCTGAAGATCATAATCCCACCTGTCCCCTTCATTTCATGACAATCTTCATTAGCTCCAACCAATGTTTTGAATTCCATGAAGCAACAGCACAACTGTTTCCCCTGTAAAACTGGGTTATCAATGGAGGCTGGTTGGCAAGTTTCCTAACAAAATAAGTGTGAGAAGAAGAGAGTATTTAATATCAAAATTTAAAACCATTTATGTTTTGGAGGTGTTGACATTTATTTACTTATGCATTGAATATTGTGGAGTAATATCTCCAACCAGTCCTGTAATTTTCCCACGGTGCAAATTGGGAGAGGCTCGTTTCACGTTTTGTCTATGCATCTTTAAGCTTCGTGCCAATAAACATTGAATAGCCATCCAGAATTATGTGGCCCTTCAAAATAAATGCCCATCAAGATTTGAAACCATGGGTATACGAACATAAAAAAGTATATGCAGTAAAAAACAAAAAACAAACCTGCTGTAGTTTTTTATTGCTGTCATTATGAGCCCAAAATCAAGAACCATTGTTAGACAGAAGGCAAACTACATATATACTAAACTCTCTAGGCTATGGGGTTTCCAATCCATTCAAGTGTTGGTAAAATTTGGGTTTAATCATGGCTTAAAGATAACAAAGCTGTGACTAACATAAGAAATTCATGAAAAAAAACCTTTGAGAATTAGATAAATCAGCCATAACATGGAAAAGAGCTGTCAGCAGGTTGATGTCTGGATGGTTAATTGCTGTTGTTGTAGGATATCTTCTGTGAATTATAGGTGCACACTTAAGGGCACTTATGAAATTGTATTGATGATTGAGGGCTTACTTGAAATTTTACCCGACAGCCAAGATAAGAGACATGAGACTGGGAAAAGAAACAGTTAATTCTGTTCAGCTACGAAAGACCCTTTTCAGAATGGAGCTCTCAGTTCACTCTTTAACGTTTGCATCCTACGCCAAGAGTAAGTCTCAATGAACTCTAAAACTCTTATTTATTTGATATACATCGAATTTGAGATGGAATTTTATTATGAACATAACCACCCAAGCCCCCAAGGTTTAAGAAACTAACTAGAAAGTAGTTCTAGTTGTTGTAGATGCACCTAAATTTTGAAACAATGAAAATCCCTGTGATGACAAATTGCCATTAAAGTTTAGGCCTGGATCTCTACCGGCTAGCTGTTTTATCTGAGTGTATGAATCCGTAAAAGGCCAGCTGCTGGTGGGTTTCTTGTTTTTCTTTTAATGAAACCTCCATTGGCCATTCATTGTAATCTTTATGAAGAAAGGTTTGTGATTTAATGGTGCAATTACTTAAGGTAAAGATGGTTGCTTTCACCTGTTTTCTCCAAGCTGATGATGGTTGTGGCTGGTGAAGGGAACCATAACAATGGGGGGGAACACTCGAGTTAATGTTAGTTGAAGATTATGGTTTCAATGAGAGTTCTGCTATTGGATGGGTGGAGTGAATGCTTTGGTTTGAATCTTTCTGAAAATTAATTTTTTCTGGTCCTTTGGTGGTTCAGAATTTTATATCTCTGGTTAATGGCAAATCTTTTGTTGGAATGCTTGGTGGAATGTGAGCGGCAAAGTAAGATTTTCGGCTCAGGATTTGACTTTGAATTGGAAAGTGTAAAACCCATTAGCTTTTTCAAGGATAAGGATTTCCATGTTGCAGCTTTGCTGATTGTGGCTATTATCTGGGTAGAATTCAGACCCTTTGTTAGAATTGGACTGTGATCAACTAATTCTGGGCTATTGCCTACTAGACAAGTTTATTATGCTCTCAGTTTAGCCTTGTTATGGAATCTTCTGTTCCATTCTGACTACTTTCATTATTGAAGCTAAAATAGATTAGTTTTTTTAAAATCTAACGTCGCTTGCTATCTTAATGGATTATTAAAAGCAAAATAAGCTAAAACCCTTTGATATGCCCCAACTCCTTTTCACATATTGCTTTTGTAACCCTGAATTCATTGTCATTTTTACTCTCTGCTGGAAAAATTGAGGTTCTTAATTGCTTTGAGTTAGCTGGAAACAAGTTTCATTTTCACTGCGTATTGGGTTCTGGTTTCCTGTCTGCTCCTGTTTTCTAAAATTGGATTTATGATTTGATTATAAATCTTTGATCAAAGCATTATTTTCATTTTATATTATCTCAGACAAAGGCAGTTTACCTGTGTTGTTGGAGAGTTATGCTGGATGATGATATTGGTTATACTGATAAACATCTGAATGTTAGAAAGCAAAAAGGCTTCGGCCAACTACTTCAAAGGCCACATAATCCTTAAGCAATTTATAGATGATGCTAAAGTCTTGCTGAGTTGGAAGGTGCTTTTGCTGATCTTTTCTTTTTTGATGTTGTCAAGCATTTGAAGACTCCTGGCCAAAAGTCCGGAGTGTGCTAGACTATAGAGTCTGTTCTTTGGTTGATGCAAAATCAAAAGAAAATAGGAGAAAATTAGCCATACTATCTTCTGCACTGCCAGAAACAGCTGCTTCTGTGGCAATTGCTGCAACAGTTGTGGGTGCAGCGGCTACATTTCTTGTTAGGAGAACTAAATCTTCTGATGCAACTGAGGTGAGTGCTTCTTTCCCTTTCCCCCCCTTTAATTCTTGATCAATTTCCTTCTCTGTTTTGAGTGAATCATAGTCCGAAAGATAAAAAGAATACATTTAATTTCTTAAGATGGTTCTTTATGATTCTGCTAGTATATATTTGAGATGGGACAGATTTTATGGTTGCCTTAACTCACCACAGTATCGATGCCATCATTCAAACTTAAAAAAGTAGTTGGATTCCATAAAATTTCCAAGAATATTTCCTAAACCATCTCTCTTCCTATTTCATTCTTAAATTAGAAATAATTTTTCTGGGAACAGTATGTCAAAGCATGTTCTACTACTTAAGTTTATTTCTAATGCACAAAAAATGCCTCAATACAATATTTCACCTCCTAGACCATCAACCTAACTGCAGTTTTCCCTTTCAAAAATTTGAAGGTTCCCTTGAGACCATGTGAAGATTGTGAGGGTTCTGGGATATGTTCAGAGTGTAAAGGTGAAGGCTTTGTATTGAAGAAAATGTCTGAAGATAGTGCAGAAAAGGCAAGGATGACTGCCAAGAACATGGCAACTCGATACACAGCTGGGTATATTTCTTCATTGAATGTCCCTCATTCTTTCCTCCCCTACATTATATATTGGCCTTCCTAGATGTTCTGATGAGCATTTGAGCTTAATCATTTCAGGCTTCCCAAGAAATGGAGCTATTGCACAAGGTGCTCTTCTTCCCGATCTTGTAGTACTTGTGGAGGCAGTGGAAAGTTAAGCTACTAACCATTTTGCTGCTTCAGACAATGTTGTTCTTGCCCACAATTTTGCCGCTCCATGGAAGGATAGTATCAAAATTTTGCCTAAGAATAGAAGTGAGCTGACTCTTTTATATGTCTATAAATTGATGGACAATGTAAATATTATTATCTCTTTGAGAGATCACATATGCCTTGCTTCATGCACTTGAACTGATAATTAAGTGAAAATTTTGTTACCATAAATATAATTTTCTGTTCCATCTCACACCAGAATGGATCAATATGTTCTTAATTCTACAGGTTTATGCAAGAGTCTTCTATTATGCATTTTGGGTGTTAAATGGACCTCATTGTTTCAAGGAGAGAAAAAGAAGCTTCTGGTAGACTTATGAACTAACATAGGATGTTTTAGATTAATCAGAAATGCCAGAGAGACACTTTTAATAAAGAAACAAGTTATAGAGAGAAAAAAAAATTCAAAGATTCTGGATGGGGACCTGATGAGTTGCTTACCAACTCTTTTAAATTTGTATGTCATTTTCATATGAAAAATGTTGATGAATGTTCAGAGCCACCGGTGAAAGTTTTTAACCACTTTGGTTAAGATTCAAGAGCTTTCTAAACAGAATCGGGAGCCTTGGGTGTTGAATGAGAAGATACATAGATACAGAGAGATATATATATGAGCTTCACCCCCAACCTTTCGAATTTGGAACATCGACTTCTTTGGAAGTTATGAATTGATCATCAGGAAGGGTCATAGACATCTGGTATAGGACTTGTTTGCTTAACAAGTCATGTTCAGCATTTTAAATCCTAATATTCGCGTTACTAGCTAGGCCTAGCTGCATGAAAACTTGCATCTGGTGAATTCGTAGAATTCAAGCACCATATCCCATCATTCCAAGCTATGTATACATCTCATATAGTTGATAATTGAAGAAATACATTACTAGTACTATTTAAAATTAGTTTCTTCTTTGTACTAAAATATAAGTAGTTTTCCCTGTCATCAATGTTTAACTTAATCTGAGATGTTAAACTGTTCTCCATAGCTGCAATTTTTCCTTCTTTAAACTCAAGAAAGTCTGCAAATATAGCTGTTTGATGGCCATTTTACATAATACTAGTTGCTCTTATTATATTAGCCTTCCTATTTTGTTTGTTTTCCGATAGTTAAATAGTTAAACCAGCAAAGACTAACAATTGCATTTCTTTAATCTTGGTGTGGGGAGAACTCTATGTTCCTTCAACTACAAGGAAAAGCAGGGTTATAGTCAAATTCTTGATACTTTTGCTTACAGGAAGCCAGGTCACATATCATTTTGATACATCTGTACGGAAAGAAGACAGTGTGCCTTTCGTTTGAACTGAGATAGCTTATCATAAATTAAGTCAACCTTTCCGGCAAATGAGGTTGAAGTTCACTGTATTTTGTTGTTTTGTCACGTTATCTTTTCTTGTTTCAGGGGTCAATTAATGCATAAGCAATCATAAAGAAGTTCTCATCCTACAGTTTTTATTGAGAGAGAACCAAGTTTTCAATGCATGTACGAGTCTATGCTAGAGTAGCAATCAAGGTACAGAAAGCCGAATTCGTATTCAGGAAGACTCATCCTCCCATTTTTTCTGAGAGAAACCAAAATTTCAGTGCAGATGCTAGTGTATTCTTCATTAGCAATCAAAGTAAAAACGGCCAATTCGTATTCAAGAATGAGAGATCCAAATTTTCTTTGCAGATACGAGTCTATTCTTCATTAGAAATCAAAGTACAACGGAGCCAATTATTAGTATTCACTGGCTTGCTGATATAGGTTTCTACTTTCATCATAACTCATCTGATACTGCTGATAACTTACAATACACAGTAAAAAGTAATTTGGAGGAAATTGAGACAACGTATTTGTGGATAATATATACCATACACAAGCAGCTCTTTTCCCTCAATTCCAGCCAAAAGTTATGTTGATTTTAACTAATAACATGGACACTGATTAAACATGGGCTGGTGTGGAAGTTGGAGGGGTTGCAGCGGAGGAAACCTCATTGCCAACCCGTTTGCCACGTTCGGACCGGCTGTTCTCAGCAAACTTGACGCTTCCTTCATGCAAACCCTGCTGTTTCTCGTCCTCAGTCCATTCCGACATGTAATAGTATTCTTCAGTAGATTTAACAGGGTCTTTTGAAGGAGGAAAGAACATGCTTCCCCACTGTGGGAAGTGCAACAGGGCTACGGGAATTGTGCAAACCACAGCCGTAGCACCCATCAAAGAAAGACCTGTGGCTGCAGAGAATCTTGAGCCTGAGAAAAATACAAGCTGTGTCAGTCCCGAACCGAAGTTACCTCCGGCGCCAGTTAGGCCTGATATCAATCCCAGGGATCGTCTTGAAACAAATGGGACTATCCCAAAAGTTGCTCCACATGCAGCTTGGGTCCCTAGAGAGAAAAGGATCATTGCCAAGACAGCAATTGGAAGTGAATCAGCCAGACCAAGCCAGATACAGAAGACACCCCCTAGAGTTTGGAAGAGCCAAAGGATCCATAGCCTGCCTCTCATGCCAAACAATCTTGCTGCTACATCAGATGCATAACCACCAAAGGGACGAGCAAAGAAGTTGGCCATGCCAAAGCTAGCAGCTATAGTCCCAGCAGTGTGGAGTTTAAGATTAAATCTGTTGCACACATAATAATTCTTATGGTTATGGTTGGTTCATCTTTTTGTGACATAAAAGGGCCAGAAGATGGTCGGGATAGTACCTGTCATAAAAATATCCTGAGATGACATTGTTGATAGTCAATTCAATGCCCATAGAAAACCCGTAAAGGAGGAAAAATAGCCATGTTCGGTAGTTGGTGACTGCATACCGAAAAACCTGAACAAGAAAAGCAAATCAGCACCATATTTGTTGGATCATAGTAATAGCAATCTCAAGTTAGTAAGAAAAAAAATGGTAATCAGAAAACCTTACCTTGGAGAACTTATCTTTGGCCACCTCACCCTTCTTCTGTAGGGTAGTAAGGTTTCCATCAGGCAAGTCTTGGCCAAGAGTTAGTACCAAGATGCCCATAATGACATGAAACCAACCCGGAATGAAAAAGGCAATCCTCCAGGCAGTGAAGGGAGTTGCACCAGCTAGCCTGATTAAATGATAAGCTAAGGGCATCAAAAGTTGAGTGACTCCACCGCCCATGTCACCCCACCCACCTGCACATCCATTAACAAGCCCTATAATCTTGCCATTGAACATTATTGTCGTCCAGTACTGGCATGACACAAAGGTTGCAAGGCAAAATCCGATCATGAATCGGACGGCTAAGTAGCCCTGGGCATCAGACACGAAAGACATGCAGAACACAGTTGGGGCAGACAGCATTAGAAGAAATGCAGTCCCATATCTTGGACCAATCAGGTCACAAACTGCACCCATCACTAGCCTGGAGAATATGCTTCCAGACACAGAAGCAACCCCGGCATTGCCTATATCCGCTTGTTTTAAATCAATATTATCACGGATGATGGGAACAAGGGGTGCCGCAGCAAAAGTAGAGACAAAACAGGTGAAAAATGAGATCCAAGCTAGGTGAAATGTTCTCATGTGAGGTTTAGCAAACGAAAAGACTTTGAAAACTTTGGCTCTGTGCTCTGAATCAACAGGAAGAGCAAATTTTGCCGTGGTATCAGTTGGGATATCAGCTGATGCAGCTGAGAGGGCAAAGGTTTGTTCTCTACCTGTTACCCCATGCATGGAAGTCCCAAAAGAACCTTCATTGTCAGCCATTTTTCTATGTTTTAGAAGAAGACTGTTTTACAAAAGTATGCAAAGAAAATAATCGAAAGTCCCTTGCTGTTGCTCTATCGAGGATGGGGTGATATGATTATTTATAGTTGAACTACCCAAGGACCCTGCACATGGTGTGGCATTGGAGGATTAGACTACACACTTAAAATAACAATGAAATGAATAAAATATTTATTAATAAAATCACAAGTTCATCATTTCAATCAAAAATTGATTATATACATCATAATGTTTCTTTTTTGATCAAACGTATAGAAAATGCTTGTAATATAATATTTTTTATATTTGATGTATTAAATTATTATTGAAATATAACTCCGATTAATTAGGACGTATCAAATATAATTTTTTAATTGATTTCTTTAATCACGGTCAAACACGCATCCCGATTCTTTTACTCTGAAGTAATTGATAATTAAAAAGGGTAAAAATTAATGATTTATTTTCATTTTGAGATCACTACTTCCGAACCAATTTGCAAATGGCTGACTTAAGCACAGACCTGCTTGAATGCGACCCATGTATATATGAATAGGCAAGAAACCGACAGTGTCCTTAAAAAAGTTCTATGGCTGTTAAAATCAGACAAAAGTGTAAAAAGATTAAAACAAAGAACTAAATGGACTAGGAAAATGATTGATGTAAGGCAGTTCACTTGAGGACAATACATTCTCAGATCATCATCTTAAAGTAAGTAAAAGTAAGTCATTAGAAAATTTCTAAATTTTCTCAGCAGATTAAAAGTAAATCTGTGTAGATTTGTAGACATCAATCAAAATAGTCATTTAATTATATAAAATAATTAATTCATGGATTAATTATTTTGAAAATATGTAATTGGATCAATTAAAATTTTCCTATGTGTCATGTATTTATATTTTGAAATAATTTAGAGATAATATATTAATTGAACCAATAAAAATTCACCTATTAATCATCCAAGTTATCACTAAATAAATGAAAAGAATTTGGAGATAATATTTAAATTTGATCAATTAAAATTTACTTATTAGTAATCTAATTTGTCTCTAAATAAATCAAGAGAATATAGAGATAAAATCCAAATTTGATAATCTAATTTATCTCTAAATAAAATAAAATAATTTAAAAATAATAGTCAAATTCGACCGATCAAAACTCAAAAACTTAAAGTTTGACTAATCAAAAGATCAATTGTGAGTCATCATTATTAATCTTTAATTAAATTAAAATAATTTAAAGAAAAATTCAACTTGACTATTATTTCTAAATTATTTTAATTTAATTAAATATTAATTTAATCTTCCTTCGACCATGTTTAATTTATGGGTTAATAATTTTGAAGACTCACTTTCAAAGTTCCACAAAGCCTCTAAGGGAAGATTCTGGGTATCAAAAAAAGATATTGAAGATCAAAACCTCCAAAGTTCCACAAAGCCTCCAAAAAAAATTCTAAAAATCGAAGAAAGATGCTAAAGATCAAAGCCTCCAAAGTTCCACAAAGCCTCGAAGCAAGATTATGAAGATTGAAGGAAGGCAAGAATATGAAGATCAAAGCCTCCAAAGTTCAAGATTATGAAGATCAAAGGAAATATTTCCAATCTAAAAGTTCAAGACCCTCAGCTCAAGGTTGAGTCATAAAACCTTGAGGTCAATGTCGAGATCAAGTCATAAGACCCTTGAAGCCATGAGGTCGATGTCGAGGTCAATATCAAGGTGAACCACTAATTCAAGATCAAGCCATAACACCCTTGAGGTCGAGGGGTTGATATCCAATCATGGACCCTTGAGGTCGATAGTCGAGATCAAGTCGTGAACCCTTGAAGCTAATTCAAGATCAAGTTGCAAGACACTTGAAAAACATATTCATTCAAGATCAAGTCACAAGACTCTTGAAGCGAAATCTTCATATTGTTCAAAGATCATGAACAAGTTAGAAAACCCTTGAATCAAAATACAAAATGAAGACTAAAGAAATTAATCAGAGAAAATTCTTTACTATAAAATATCAGAGATTATAAACTCCATGTAATTTTTCAAATTTAAAATATTCAACAAAAAATTTATGTGTACAATATGTTTTAATAGGACAATCAATCAACTCATTAATAGTTCGAAAAAAATGATAAATTTATCATTTTTTTCATATATGATATGAATTTCCTCGATATGTGTGGAAGGAAATATGAAGTTGTAATACCAAACTGATGCTTCCTAAAGAATCAAACATGTTTTGGGGTTTAGAACTGATGATTCCCATTTCTAAGGAAGGGAATTAATGAACTTTTAGACACACGATCATCAAATCAAAAGGTTTTGAAGCTTTGGGTACTCCATATATTTTCTGTATCTAACAAGGGATTGGCAGCTTTGGGTACTCCATATATTTTCTGTATCTAACAAGGGATTGGCAGAGGAAATAAGATATACAAAAATGAAAATGATAGTGCGTCATTTCAGAGTCATAAAAACAAGTCAATACATAGCAGTCAGATAAGAACAAAATAATGGTAGATTGCTGGGTATACTGTCAACTTAAACATGGAGAAAACTGACTCCAAAATATAATGCAGGACGATGAAAACAAGATTTGGCAAAGTCAAACAATGAAATTTCTAACCAACTGGACAATGGCTGCCCATTGTCTTTCACATTAAATGTTCTTATTATATATATATATACACACACACACACAAACCATTGACGTTAGACTTGGAAAAACGAAAACCTGGCTTATTCTGATGGAGATTCCCAACTACTCACGAGTCGGTGACATTATTTTTCTTCTAAGTTTGGGGTGTACGGCCTCTCCATCACCTGTTGAATATGTACTATAGACGTACGGTGTACCCCTTATTTCAATGATCTCATCAAACTCAACCACCTTCCTGGACCTTTCTACTTTTCCCCATATACTTTAATGTGTGTTCATGGATGAATTTTTGGGTTATCGATCCAATGCCCTGAACATTTCTTGGATAAGAAGGTACATGATATGAAGATTTATTTAACTACAATTAATTCATGCATATTACGTAACGAGAAACATTTTTATATATTGTTAATAATTGGTTAAATTGATATTAATTTTTAAATATGTGTACCTAATTAATAACTACATCAACAAAAAATAATTTCATGAATTTCATTTTTAAACGTAACATTTCATTCGTGAAATATATGAAAGTTTATTATGAATTGAGTAAAAATCAAAATTATGTCTAGTTACGTAAACATTTTTACATGTTTAACAACAAATTAAATTAATATATATATATTTTCATGTGTCACTTTCAAATGTAATCAATTGTTGAATTGTACTCTTAATTACCACAATCATCTCATCAAACTCAACTACTTTTGTCGTCCTTTTTATTTTCTCAATATAATTTAAGTGTGTTAAGGATGAATTTTGGATTATCAATCCAAGGCTCCAAATATTTTTTGGAAAACAAAAATATACATGATATAAAATTTTATGTAACTATAAATAATTCATGCATATATATATAATGAAAAACATTTTTACATGTTTAATAATCGATTAATTGATATATCTAGACTACATCAAGAAAATATGCTTGCATTTAAGTTGTGCCTTGCATATTATAGGAAAAAAACCAATATTACATATGTAAAAATTAGATATATTTAAATATTAATGAATCAATTTTTATAATATCGTTCTATACCTAATCAATAAATAAATTTTCATGAGTGTGATTTTCAAAGGTAAAGTAACTTTTCATTTGTAAAATATATAAAAAAACTTATCATGAAATGCGTAAAAAGATAAAAAATATGACTTAAAGAAATCCATGTCATGCTAAACAAAGAACGAGGAAGAAGAAAAAAAGAAGCGGCAAACAAATTAAGCTTTTCCGGCCATGGAGGGACAGTGCCTTCTTCCCAGCTGACTTTTCCATTGGATTGCGCCGTGCATCACGTACACCCACCGTGGGCTAAACCTATAAACAATTTCTCTAACTTCAGCGCCATTAATATTTATAAAAAAGAAAAAACAAGAACAAAAATAATAAAATTTAGTATATTCTATTCACGTCAGATTTAGAAAATAATGTTGAAAATGATTACGAATTAATGTAAAAGTGACCGTACATTTATTATATATCACCGCCATGATAACGACTTCTTTTCTTTTGTTTATTAGTGGCCGTCGACTTCCTCCTTGCATGCACGCAAGCCTACAAGGCAATGACTTCGACCTTTATTTTAATACACAAAAGAAAAGGAAAACAGCATATTCGTTTGTTTTTCCACCAACCTTTGTGTGATGACAGTAAAGAGACACATCAACTACTACTATTGGAGGAAAGTTCCTCGGTGTTTTTGGTTCAAAAGCAAGATCGCTTCATTTCCATGCATATTGGAGGGCAGACGTAATGATGTTTTCATGGCTCAATTTTCATGGGATAATGAATGAGAGAAGAGTTGTTTTTATTTGGGCTTTCATTTCTCTGTTTAATAAAGTTTTCGTATTGATTTTTTAATCAAAGTGATTAAAATCAAAACAGTTCTTTATCTGTTATGTAAATTTTATAATTAATTTTATTTATATCATTTAATTAAATGAATAAAATTTTCGTATTTTAGTTAAGGAATATAAACTTTGATGGCACCTGTTGGTGCACTATCCTTCTACTTAAAAAATAAGATTCAAATTCTCCCTTTTCGATTATATAAAAAAATAAATCATAAACATTTGATGGGTTTTGTAATTATAATAATAATAATAATAATATTTTACTTAATTAAAAAAATCTTTTCTCATCATTAATTAAACATGGCCAAGTTGAAACAATTTTAACTTCTACTATATTCATCCTCATATTTTCACGTGGCAAGTTGTTACCATGGATTCTTGACCAACGTCATTATGACATGGATCTCCTTGATCTATTTTGATTTATCCTTCTTCATCATATTGAAATCTTTGTAAGGCTTGACTGGCTGTGTTTTATCTTCACCTTTCTTTTTTGACAGCTAGGATTAGATTTGGCAATACCTCAGAATTTATCCAAGTTTATAAACAAGACAGAATTTAATCCTTTTACTTATTTTGATATGCATGTAC